CGAACGAGACTCCTGTCATTCCATCACGGTCGCCGTTTCTTCGAAACCGTCGACGATGGAGAGGCAGACGCAAACTGAACTTATTTTACCGATATGGAGGCAGTTTCTTTATTGCTTAGCGGGAGATGAAGCTTTCAGGTATATCATGAATTAAGAAAACAAATTTTATGAAATACGCGATATCGCACTGCAGTATATCTCTGTTCAATTTTTATTCTAATTAATAGATTCTAATTAATATAGTTCTATTTTTCTTATATATAATTATATATAATTTTATGTAATTGGACATATGTCATAATTATACACAGTTGTACATATATAATTTTATATAATTATACATAAAACATTTTTTCCCAGGATTCTACACATATTTATCTTATAACTATTTTCTATTTATTTATTTCTTTTTTATTATTTCTTTTATTAATAGTTGCATCTATATTGTACGAAAGAGATGCTATAATTAATATTTAAAATTACAGGCGTCGCCGGCAGCGGGAAGTGGCTAGCAACTATCGAAAACGCGGCGATCGTATGTCGAAGAGATACATAAATAGCGTATCTTACATCGACAGAGTGGCGCGGATAGTCTTTCCTGCGTCTTTCGGTCTACTCAATGTCTGCTACTGGGTAGTTTATGTTACCTATCAAGAGGAATTTAAATGGCAGGATCCGCCAATCGGATCGATAACGCCTATCTCCTATTAATGAAAATAATAATAATAATAATAAAGCGACATACATCACTATATTAATTACGAGTGAGGGAAACAAGAGAGATTACGCACTTTTATTCGAAATTGAATTATTAAATTTATTTCAAATTAAGTTATTAAGGAGGTTGTACGGCAAATGCAATATGTTAAAAATTACTTGAAAAAATTACAGACTATTCTAAATTACATTTAATAATAATACAAAAAAAATAGAAACAGTTGACCATCTGGATCAAAAGTTATTTAAATAGGTAGTAATATTTTTTAAATTTGTACTCTAATGTAAATATATGAAAATGTATTATAAAATAATGATAAAAATCTCAATTTTTTAATATAAATATTTTATGAATTCAATAATATTTATGTAAAGTTACTTTGAGATGCAGATATTAATTGTTAGTAAATAAATAAAATTTGTTATTTGTTATAAACTAATGGTGAATCTCAATGAAACTTTGCATAAGTCATATGTTTAGTACTTAACATATTTATATAAAAGCATTTAGATTTTCCTTATTATTTTAACAATTTTTGTTTATAACAATAAAACTAATAACACAAATAAAATAAATAATCTATAAAAATATGTTGCTCAATAAAACCAGAATGTTATGAACACAACTTTCATGTATGTAGTTTGTTTAAAACATAAATATTAATATATGTGTTTTATGCCCTTTCAACCTCCTTAATTAAACGTATGCATATTGTCATAATTTTTTTTACTTAAAATCGCTTGTACATAATTCTACGAAGTTCTCATAGTTGAATACGTGTTTGCGAAATGCTTTGTATATGTCAATATCTTATTCGAATAGAAAAATGAGAATCGAGACAAATGAAAAATTTATTTTTTTCATAAATTTTTTATTTAACTATCACAACGAAAGTGTGTACGAATGTTAGGCAATTTTTTAAATTGTTTCCGATTTTTCTTTCTCTTAAATCATAATCTTATATCATAAATAAAGTCCCTTGATTAACAGTCTTGGTCAAATTATTATACAAATTTATTAAGGAATAAATTTCTTAAATTAATGAATTTAAAAATAAGAAAATTAAAACAAGGTTCAGCGAATGTATTGAAAAATCAATAAAATAAAAAGGAGATTATGAGCATAAGCTATTGTAAAATAAATTTAATACTTTTATTTATTTATTTAATATTTAATGGATATATAAACTGCGCCAAAATTTAGAATTAGTAATATTAATTTACTCGTAATATTAATTTTATTACTGACATTTATAGATATATAACAAATTTTATATATACATTATATGTATATTATATATATAATTTAATAGTCCGATATAAGCTTATTGAAATATTTATATCAGTCAAAATATTAATTTTTCAATTATCTTTAATTATTCCACTGTGAAAACAACGTAAATTCATCCAGAAGCTTGCCATCCTTAAAGTAGCTTACAACGGACAAAAAAGAATGTCGAATACGCTTTGCCATTTTCCATAAATCCGGATTTACAATAGGGTTTGCTTTAAGCCATAAGAAATGGGCGAATCACAGTCGCATATTCTTCTCGGATTCAACTGTAATTGGTCAATTTCTTACGGCTTAAGACTTAAAACATCTATTGTAGATCCGGGGTAAAGGCCTTGGCACATAGAAAAACTTAAGACGTAAGACTTACTTACGAAGTAACGAAATTAATTGGGCCTTCTACAATAAGCCGCAAGACAGAAGTTCTAAGCGATCTTAAGTCATAATCGGTGAAATTAGCTAATAGCCAACTTGAACGACTTGGTTAAGACTGGTTAAGACTTCTGACGTTCTGACTTGCGACTTATTGTTGTAGAAGGCCCAAATATGTTGGATTCGCTATTGCTTACGTATGGTCTTACGGTTTCTATTGTGATTGGTCGATTCGCTTACTGCTTAAGTCTTACGCCTTAAGTATTTTTATACGCCATGGCCTTAACGGACAAGAAAATAACGTCAAATACGCTTTGTCATCTCCCATTGGGTCACAATACGATTCGTCGAGCAGCTAAAACGATTGGCTCTTACTTTTAGATCTGGCGTTCCGACAAATCTCATTCGACATGTTCAGCATCAACGAATTGTCACGTCTCAAGCATGTAATACCCACGGCTAATTTGCTGGGCGAAAACCAATCGTGTTCAATCCATTCAATCATTCCATTCGACCGTTAGGCGCTACCGATAGCCTTACTACTATTTCCGTTGAACGCGACCTACTGCGTCAATTGTTTCGGAAAAAGTTTCTTTCCAATTTTTCGGTATTACGACACTGTGCTGCGAATGAGTCTATCTCTTAGGAAAATCGAAGTTGACGCGATTTGAAACTAACGTAAATTCATCGTTTTTTCCAATTGCGAACTCAATTTTGCTACGCGGGTATAATGCGTTTTCCTGTATCATTTTCACAATTATACCGATTACAACATGGTGGTTGGCTGTGATATTCAACATGATACTCCGTACGTGCAAATGTGATGTAAACTTAAGAATTGACAAAAAGAGGAGTCTCACGCACTTAAATATATAATAGCTTAATTTTAAGCATGATTAGTATCCTTCTATGCCTCTGGCATGCACAAAATATTTTCATTAAAAAAGTATTATATGCGTATAAACAAGAAAAAATTTATCACACATTCTTAACTTTCAAATGTTGTAGAGGATATGTGCAAAGATGTTTGTTTCCTTTTACCAATATTTCATACATGAAAAAAATCAAAAGCTTTTTCTTTTTTTCTATTCCTTTTTAGGAATAATATGATAAAAATATATTGTTTTTAACTTTTTCCAAATTGTTTCCCACAAATGAGTGAGGATTATTTTATTTTCAATTTAATTTGAATTTTAATGAATTAAAAATACTCTATTATTTGAAAAAAATTGTATGGAAATTTTAAAAATATAGTTTGCTCATTATAATGTCGTGTACTAACTTAGATATTTGAAGAGCGAAATGAAAGAGAGCAAATGTTTAGGTCTACATAGGACTGCAAAAGGTCATAATTATAACTACTTGAGAAATAATCCGAAATTTTTTAACATAAAAATATTAAGCGATATATGTTTTTTATGACAGAATATTTTTTATTGCAGGATTAATGAATAATATAAACTCAGAAGATCTTAAAGAAGTTCGATTTTTAATCGAAAAATGGATAAGACAACATGCCCCCAAACATATAAGGAAATCGATCAAAGCATTGTCAAAATGGAGATGGAATCTGAACAAAATTTTAAGCCTGACAATTTAAATATCAATTTTGTGGAAGTTCCCTCAATAGAAGAACATGATGTTACCATTTTGCCGGCGAAGTTTAGAGGTAGAGGTAGAGGTAAAGGCAGAGGCAGAGGTAGAGGTAAAGGTAGAGGTAGATACAGCAACAGTTCACAAATCTCAGCCTCGCCAAAGCAAAGTCATTCCACGGATATGAAGGCAACTTTGAAGAAGGACCGTTTTCGTCCGATTCGGCCGAAACCTTTACAACCTATTACTTCGACTATACTAAAACATAAATTTGGATTACCAATAATGAATATGGCTACTTTACCATCAAATCGTGTTATTTTACCAAGTCCACTGAAAGAAAAAGTAACTATTACACACGTTACACCTCTAGATAAATCTGACAAGATAAAAAATATCAAACCAATTAGCAATGACAACAGTGTTTTGCAAAAGAAAAACGTTTTTAGTAGCGATATTGACAGTAAAACCATTGACACAAAAGTAGTTGTCGACAGTAAGACTATTAACACAACAGCTGTCAACAGTAAGACCATTAACGACAGTAATAAAAGTGAAACCGTAAATATTGTACCAATAACTAATGAAAGTAAAATTGATAAAATTGTGAAAACTGAAAGGTCAAGCATCATAGCAAAAAGTAATTGTAATAACAATAATAACACTGATAATAGTAGTAATAGTAATAATAATAGTAGTAATAAGAAGAATAGTAATGATATTAGCAGTAGTAATACTAATAGTGATAAAAATTGTAATAATTATGATAAAGATTTGCGTACTAATAGTAAGACGAAATCCAAATCTAACAAGAATAGTATTGAATTATTTTTTGAGAGTATGGCACAGACTGTGTTGAATTTACCTAACGAAGTCCAAGCAGATATTAAAATGCAAATTTGCAAAATTGTTACCAAGGCAGAGATAGAATTCTGTGGATCTCAAGTAAAACGCAAGACTAAATATTAAATTTTAAGCATATATTGACAATGTGTTTATTGTTATTAGATTAGAGCTTGTGTTCAAATTATAATTTCTTTTACACAGACTAAATTTTCCAAGATGTAGAACAGGCCTGAAGCCAGGTTGCACATTTCGACTGATTTTGCCTATCGTCATCCCTACACGAAGAGAATTTTGTTTCAAAATTTACCCTGAAAATCTGGTGGTTGTTAATATAAACGTAGTATTTATATAGATATGAACGAAGACACACGTCTAATCGACAAATTTTATATAATTTGTATTCTTAATTGTGCGTAACAGGATGGAGGTGCAAGTTATTAGTACGACCGATCTTACAAATCTCGACTTGTTAAGAAGAGTCGTTCACATGATCAAATGGGAATTATGGTCGCAGCACGGACTTTTGCATAACGCATAACACATAGTACATAAGCGAATCAACTAATCAGAAGCTTTTCTTTCCTCTCATTCCATGGAAAAGAATAATTTCGATTGGTTGATTCCCTTATGCATTATGCATTGTGTTATGCAAGAGTCTGTGCTGCAACCATTACTGTAGGTTGACTAATTGCGTCTACATTCAGAACAATTTCATTTAAATTTTTTGATTATTAAGCCTAATGTTATATTATGAAGAAAAAAGTAGCCGAAACGTCGGAAATATACGTACATACAGGTGAAGAATAAAGAAGAATTGTAACGTACATTAATAATAACTGTGTACTAATTCTGAGTTGTCTATTGTTTTTGTAATATTGTTTATGGTGGTTGTGGTACAATATAATATTTTAAAGATTTTTACCATGCATTTCAGTAAAGTTAATCGAATTTATTTTATACTTTATTAGTAGTATAGTAGTATTGTATGAATAAAGGAGATTTATTAATGAATGAAGGAGATTTACATTAAAATTCTTGGAAATATTAATGTTGCCTCACGACTATCATATTTTCAGGGTAAATTCTAAGAAAAAATTCTCCGTGTACTCCTTTTGTTTCATAGCGTTTAGACCAGTACTGGGATTTACTTGCACATTTCGGCCGATTTTCAGCTTGGTTCCTGTCCTTTACTTCACTAATCCGCATGCAGCCCAAGTGTCGATCGGCACTTCGAGTTTTATATTTCGAGTCCTATATAATGCCCTATACGATTTACAGCTAATACCGTTCATGAACAATCATTTTATGTCTCCGTGCACAGTTTAAATGCTATGAAAAGGAGTAGGGATAATGGTAGACAAAATCGGTCGAAATGTGCATAGAACTACAGGCCTGATGTTAGGAATTGTTATTGACCGAGATTTTGAACAAATCTATAGTGGATAATCTTGAAACATTAATTTGACTCAAACAATATAAAGACGTCTTTAAATGCATTGTGACATAAAGACGTCTTATGATCCGATTTTAAACACTTTGTTTTTTGGGTAGCTATATCTCAACAGATATATAAACAAGATGTAAACGGCAAGAAATCTAGATATTTTCCTTGCATTTACATTTTATTTGTCAAAGTATATTAGTTAATTTTATTTTTTAAGCTCTCATAATTTTAAGTTGATAATATTGATATATAGTTTATAATTACATTTATAAAAAATATAATTATATAGAATTTTTTTTGTCATGTATTTATTTTTCTTTTCTTTAATCTTTAATAAAAAAAAATCCACAACACAGTTCTTCAAGCGATGTTCTAAAAATGTCTCTAGGTTTGTTGGAGAACTTTGTTGTGTGGGAATATTTTGATGGATAGAAACACTCATTGATACTGAATTAAATTGGATTACAAGATAATTACATATGTAGTAAATTTTATGTGCACTCATATTTTTAAATGTTGACTACAATTTGTATTGTAGGACATGTGACGTTAAGGATGTACTGCCAGTAATTTTATGTATATCGAAACAAATAAGAATAATATTAAGTTTATTACACAATTATATATATATATATATATATATATAATGTATAATCGACAACAAGTTATATAATTTATCATAATTTTATTTTTTATATGCCGTATAAAAATTGTATATAAATAAAAGTAAATATATATTAACGAAAACGATACACAATTTTGATAAAGAATGCTACAATATTTAAAAATGCTAAATAGTATAATATTTAAATAAATGCTAATATAATAAGTGATTTCTCAAATGTAAAGAAATGATGTAAGTTAAAATTAAATCTGTTGAAAACTATAAAAATCTTTAATTTTGAACTGTATGATTAATCTTTGCTGATATATTACTGAATTATATGAATACTAGATACATGTATGTATATATTTGTTCAATTTTATTGAAAATATGAAATAAAAGGATAACAAATTCATTTATTCTATCTTTGTGAAGTTGTGTTCTAATACAAATATAAAAGTATATATGAATTTTATATCTAAAAAAATTAACAAATAATCATATTGTCAATTCAAATCAATTTTTTCCGGTCTTTTATAAATATACAAGAATGAGAAAGAAATTACACAAATATCTGTAAAATAGAAAATATGTATATCTTAAAATAATTATCTACATCTGAGACGACATAAATATTAAAATGAAAAAGGAAATGTTATCTTATCAATCTTGAACAAGTGAATAAGATATTATTTCTTCGTAAACGTAAACTATGGAATGTGTGAGCGGTAAATTGAAAGCGATTTATGTCTAAAAATAAAAAAATACTAAAATTATTAAACCATTATCTTATTTAAGCCACAAATATCGGACGAATACAATCACGTTAAAATTCGCTAAAATAACTGGTGCCTTTCTTTTCATTTGATAAATATGAATACAACAATACAATAAAATCACCGATAAAATTATTCCAAACCATACCCTAAACACAATTATGTCAAAACAAATTATTCATTTAAATCATGTTATGTTTGTTTCTCATATTTATTACAGATATATTATGACGCATTAAAGGTAGAATATCCATTTATGTATAATGCGTGTAATACAAACTATCAATTCCAATATGTCACGATGTCTATCTAAATGACTAATGGCTCGTGCACATACAATACCTTATATGTAAATTACGGTATGCAATGCTGTCAATATCTACTAAAGTATCAAAGCGTGACGCCACATATCTTCCCATTCTTATCTTTGCTGATAATGTTATACGGTGTATAAGGTATGTTCTGAGTCTAATGATTACGAGCGCTACGTCTATCTAGAATGGATTTCAATATGCATCTGCATTTTCTTTATTCTCGCTGTTTAATTATACACAAAAAATTATTAAATAAAAAATACATATATTATATATATAACGTGTGAATCGCAGTATATCAATTCAGTGATATAATTTCATAAACTTTTCACCAAACTTTTCGTAAATGCACTTGTGCTCTTCTAACGAGTCTGTGTCTTCTTTACCAAAGCTCACTTTTATCAGTAAAATGTGAAATGCGAAAGCACTGCATTTGTATAGGTGAGAGATGAATCGGAAATAAGCGATTCAACGACGAAAATATTCTGAAGGGACAAAAAGCAATGTGTAAAAGTGTACGAACAATTAAAAAATAATTTTAACGCCGTAAAGCTTCTCGTTACTACTGTCTCGCAATCTGTACCTTATGCTCGTTTTTTTTTCTTTTTTTTCGAATATATTTATAAGGAAATGCAATAACGATGAAGATAAAAGACACTAAAGGCGCAAAAGCCTTATTTGCTTTTCGACAACAGAGATGCAAAAGCATTATACTATCATTATATGATAGTTGTTCATTCTTCTTTTTCGGCCTTTTCGACATCTTGCTTCTCCTCACCCTCTACGATATCACCACCCTCGAATTTTGGGCCTGGTGCTTCATCGCCTTCCAGAACAATTTCCTCTGGATCAGGCGCGCGTGGTAAAAAATCCTCATCTGGATACATAGACTTGAAAATGTTCTTAGCCTGGAAGCAAAAAATAAAAATTCTAAAGAGTTATGTAGTGCAATTTTAAAAAGTACAATTTATCAAAGTAGTTTTAAAAAAACTGATACCGTTTTGCAGTAAATACATTTATCTCAAAAATAATACAAAACTATAGAATATTTAAAACAGTAATTTTTTTAATTATATTTTATATATACACAATTATTAATACATTACATTACTACTATATCTCATATTATCAATATATACCTGATTCACAGCAAAGTCGAAATCAAGTTCAAGATCCGGTCCAGAACATAGGTGTATATTACTTGGCGCAGAATCGCTTAGTTTAATGTCGCTTGCAGGTAAATTCAAATATAAAGACCATAATACTTGGGGTAATGGATACTCAGATTCTTCTTTCTCTTGTCGGTCATCCTAATATAATTATTCAATAAAAAAGAATGTTTGCTTTTACATGATTCTAATATTTTTTATATTTTACCTCTCATAAGAGATATAATTTTATATTAACAATTTTTATAAAGATACTTTACCTGAAGATGTCGTTTATCAGGAGAGACTGTTTGAGTATGAGAATCAGAAGAACTACGCACAGCATTGGGATCAAGCGGTTCTGCTCTCAGGAACTTATTCACGACATATGCCAGATCTTCCTTTGCATTCTTAGTACGTTTGCATGTCATATGAACTATGACTAAAGAAAAAAAGAAATGTGCGATACGGACATAAATCAAATCGATTCTGAAATATATTCCTATTGATATCATACATACATAATCCTTGAGGACAAGCATTAGTAGATGGTCCCAATTCAATTAGAGTAACGGCTTCTTGGTCTGGTTTTTCCGGCGGATAATACAAAAGAGTTAGACTTTCTTTCTCACCTTGCATAATTGACCTATAACAGCGAAAAATATCTCCAATAAAATATATTGTACGCATATACATATCTTTTAAACTGTGCAAAATCTGTATGAAAAAAATACCTGTCAGTAATGAAAATTCCGCGCGAAATTTGATTTTCTCCCTCAGAGGCTACGATTTCTGGTGGCAAGTGTCCTTGCCCTACGACTAAATGCTCCAAAGCCA